TCTATGAATCCATTCATCCATCTGTCTATCCACCTCTCCTCTCTCTCTCTCTCCCTCTTTTCTCTGCATGATCTCCATCCCCTCCCTCTCTCTCTCTATATATATAGTAAATGCACTAATTTAATTGATTATGTTGTTAGTTATAACGTTACAACTCACATCGGCACTAACTTATGCACGAAAACAGTGACAAAGATTCCAATTAATGCACCAAATATATCGAGAGGATACTATACAAACTTACAGAGACACGGATTAAGAATTCGAATTCGCAGTAATTTGAATTTTCATCTCCCATTCTGACTCATCTATATACAACATTTCTCTGCTACCTTAGTTGATTAGTTTGAATAATTCTGGCTGTCAAACGAGCAGGTTTTATATGAGCAGCCAGTGGCGGGGTACACCGCACCTGCAACCCATGGTACTGCTGCCCACGCATGAGGGGCCTTCTGACAACAACTTGTCCAAATACTGCAGAAAGAAACAATATTGTGGGTAAACAATGGTAATATAGCGATATCTTTTTCACGCATAGGCAGTTCTGACAACATACGGCTGAACGAGTTATTCACTATACGTAGGCTATTTATAACATTTTATCAATATGTAGACGTAACATACTTTACAGACTGGTTCTTCTTGGTTGACGATTTAGAAGCCATAATAGCACAAGTAACTGAAGGCCGAATCTTTAACGTTAGAGGAGACTAAACCCATACAGAATCTTTTACCAAAGAAGGTTTGAAATGATCGCAGACTAATTTGCGATAATCAAAGGCTCGCCCTAATTTTGCATAATGCAGAGTATTTGATGTTTGCGTGTCTTTTACTGTCAGGCTCATGGAGCATACCACATGTTGTAAAATCCGCGGTCGTCGTTCCAGGCCTGACTCGAGCCACCATATCAATCTGTAAAAAAACGCAAAGACCATACATGGCATACTAGTTATAGTTACTCGTATCGGCTTTTCAGTTCCACAGAGAGGAAATCAGCCCGTATTATGTACAATGTCTGGACAAATCCACATGCAGGCATCGAGCAAATATTTGGAAATAAGCCATGCGGATGATCAGCGATCCAATGTATCGATTTCACAGTCAACTCTACTGTTTATCTGGCAACGCGTTCGAACCAGGAGAGCAGCAGAGGAAGCCAAATGACCACACAAGATTATCAGCAAGTGAACTGCACTCGCGACACACAAGAGGCCACGTTGAGACAACAACACCAGCATCGAGAAGATGTGACCGTTGATTTTACGCAAAATCCACATAACAGTAATTATTGTGTGGAAAACACACACACACATCTGCTATACCTGCCTGATACACAGTAATTAGTTTTTTTATTTTTTTTTTTTTTTTTTTTTTTTTTGTATAGCGATTATTGTGTTGAGAGCACACGGACATGTGTGGACCGTCGGCTGAAATACACTAACAGTATAGAGCGGATGTTTTGTATGAGAGCATGCCGGACATCTGTAACCGCACTGCTAAAAATGACAATATAGAGTAATTCTTGTGTGGAGAGCAGATGACGCGGACATCTGTAGACCTGCCGGTAACGACCCTATAGTATACAAGTGACTTCTGGATCAACATGAGAAAGTCGTATAACACCGCCGCAGTAGTATCATACCCCACTTGACATGAGGCTACTCCAGCTGTGTAACATTACCAACTACAGTAGGATCATCACAGCTAGCACACGTGTGGTAACGATTACCAACGTACAGTAGGACCAGCAATGGCCGACCCTGCAGTGGATAAATGCTGCACCCCGCTCGATCAACAAGACACTCTCGTCACGACGCCCGCGTCGACGTCGCAGTCGCCACGGCACGCTAGTCGTTCGTCGCTCGTCGGATAACGCGCGTTGTCGTCGTCGGGCGGCGCGCGCTAGCCGCCTACGTGCCGCTCCAGCCGCCACGGCTGCATCTGATCTCGCGCTGTCCCGTCGCCGACTCGCGCCAGGCCCGCGTAATTCACGGCGAGCGCGCCGCACGCGCTCGCGCCGCCGCGCCAAACAGCTGCGCCGACGTCGACGGCTGATTCCTGATGCGCGCAGTCGTCACGTTCAGCGCACTGTCTTGCCCTCGTCGTCGGCCGAGCGCCACGTCGGCGTCTTCGCACGTCCGCCTGCGCCCTACGGCGCCGTTCGATCACGGCCGCGCGCCTCAGCCGCGCCGTCGCCGCCACGTGGGCCGGGGCGGTCCGGTCGGCGCTGGCTCGTGCTACTCGGACTGGCGAGCGTCGTCGCAGGGCACGCGCTTCTGCCACGAGCTCGCCGGGCGCCCCGCTACGTGCACCGGCGGCTACTTCGCAGGCGCTGTGCGCGCCGCGCGGCATGTACCTCGCACCGGGCAGGCGCGTCTCGGCGTCGTCGCTACGCGCGCATCTGGCCGCCGCGCGACCGGGGGCCAGCATGCGGCGCATCGGCCGCGAGCGAGGCGCCACCGCGGCGAGCGGCCGCCAGCGCGCGCCGAGAGAACAAGGCGACGCGCACGGTGGCGCTCGTGCTGCTGACCTTCCTGCTGGAGAGCGTGAGCATCGTCGCCGTGCAGACGCTGCAGTACGCGTGCCCGCTCTGCGTCGACACGTGGCTCTACCTGCTGGCGCAGCTCGTCTCGATCGCCGTCGGCCCCGTGACGAACCCGATCCTGTATTACGTGAGGATCTCAGCATTCCGCCGCGCGTTCCGGCAGCTGTTAATGTGCCAAGACACGCCGGGCGACAACTCAAGCAGCGTGGATTAGCGATCGCGACGAAGACTCGTGGGGTACGAACAATGCGCCATAATACACTAACTACAAGTACTTTATTAGTACGTAAAAGCCAGGATACGTACAAAATACAGGGTACTTGCAGCACAGTGGCACATGATTATACTAGAGTACATACAACACACCAGAGCACGTAGAACATACCAGAGCACGTAGAACATACCATAACATGTAGAACATACCAGAGTACATACAGTACACCAGAATGTACAAGTGTTCGTACAACATGGTGGAGTATAATAATAACAGAGTATATACAATAACATCAGTATGCACAACATATTGGCGTGTGACTATACTAAAGTACGTACAATATACAGGGGTACACTAATACCAGAGTACGTACAATAACCTCTGTGTGAACAACGTACAATAGTACGACTACAACAAAATGCATGCCACACAGCAAAATATGTCCCACATACTGAAGTACATACAGAGTACCAGAGTTCAAAGAGTATACCAATGTAATGTATTCTAACTTAGTACTTATGTAGTAATGTTAGTATTTATGTTTCTTTTACTACTTAATGAGGTATCTCAATGTTTATGATACTTGCCTTTTTGTTGTTATTGTAAATGTGGATAATGTTAATGGTGAACTATTTACTAGAATAGAGCATTATTAAAATTCCCCCATTTTCATAGTTCCCATTTTTTAGTTATACTGAGAAATTTAGAGAATAAATCAGTGAATTGATTATTACCTCGAGTGTACACAAATGGGAGACCAATAAATTTATAGATTTATGGTAAATGGTTTAATGTACGTAAAAATTTCTACCTTTACGTTTGATTTAATTTCACACTAGCCATTGTGCTTTGAATATACGTGTAAATTAATAGTGAACACAGATGAAATCATATCAATGGTTGCTTATCGACCAGCGTACCGGTGTTTGATCCATGTTATCCAGCAGCAATCGTACAGCGCGCTCCGTGTCGAAATCGACGAGCATCTCTATTTTGTCGGAGATGGAGTTGAACAGGCCGTGCTTGTGTATCAACTCAAACACGTCCTTGTGCTTGAGCCTGCCGTGGAGATCACACGTAAATATAACGTACAATGATATATATATATATTATATACG